GAAATAAGCAAAACAATCCCAAAATTTATACAGAACCACAAAAGATTCCAAATAGTCAAACACTCCTGGCGGGGGGGGGGGGGGGGGAGAACACAGTGGGAGGCATCTCACTTCCTGATTTCAAGCTATAAAGCTGTAGTAATTAAAATAGTATGGTACTGGCATAAAAGCAGACACTTGGACCAGGAGAACAGAATCAAGGGCTCAGAAATTGACCCACACACGTACAGTCAACTAATAGCTCACAAGGGAGGAAGAACACTCAATGGGAAAAGGATAGTCTTCTCAATAAATGGTACTGGGGAAATTGGATACTCACATGTAAAAGAATGAAACTTGGTTCATATCTTATACCACTCACAAAAATTAACCTGAAATGGATTAAAGACTTAAATGGAAGACCAGAAACTCCTACAAGAAAGTACAGGGAAACAACTCCTTGACATGAGTCTTGACTATTAGTTTTTGGATATGACACATAAGTCATCAGTAACAAAATGAAAAACAAAGAGAACTGCATCAAACTAAAAAGCTTCTGCACAGCAAAAGAAATAGTCAACAAAATGAAAACAGAATGGGAAAAGTATTTGCAAACCATATAGCTGATAAGGGGTTAACATTTAAAATATGTCCAGAAATCATACAACTCAATAGTAAAAATACTCCACAAATAATCCAATTAAAAAAATGGGCAAAGGACCTGAAGATATTTTCCAAAGCAGATAGAATACAAATGGCTAACAGCTACATGAAAAGGTGCTCAGCATCACTAATCTTCAGGGAAATGCACATTAAAAACAATGAGAAATCACCTCATGCCCGTTTGAATGGCTATCATCAAAAAACAAGAGATAACAAATGGTGGAGAGGATGTGGAGAAAAGGGAACACTTGTGCACTGTTAGTGGGATTGTACATTGGTAAAACCACTACTGAAAACAGTTTAGAGGTTCCTCAAAAAATTTAAAATACAACTATCATATAATCCAGTAATTCCACCTCCATGAATGTATCTACAGGAAATGAAAATACCACATCAAAGAGATATCTGCAACTCCATGCTCACAGCAGTATCATTTACAATAGCCAAGACATGGAAACAACCTAAGTATCCATCAATAGATGAATGGATAGAGATGTTGTGGTATCGGTGCAATATTATTCAGCCACAAAAAAAGAAATTCTGCCATTCACAACATGGATAGACCTTGAGGGCATTATGCTAAGTGAAGTTAAGTCAGACAAAGACAAATACTGTGTGGTCTTACTCATATTTAAAAAAATCTTTTGAAAAAGTATTCTAAAAAATGCATTAGAAAAACAGAAGCAGGGGATGGCAGGGGATAGAAGGGGGGGATTGGAGAAAGGTGATCAAAAGTTACAAACTTCCAGTTATAACATAAAAAAGAACTAGAAATGTAATATGCAACATGATAACTACACTTAACTGTTACATAGTACATTTCAAAGTTGTTAAGTAAGTAGATCCTAGGAATCCTCAATACCAGGGAAAAAAGCTTTTATTTTTTTGTATCACTATGAGATGATGGATATTAAATAAACTTACTGTGGTAATCATTTCACAATATACATAAATCAAATCATTATACTACACACCTTAAATTTATACAGTGCTGTATGTCAATTACATCTCAATAAAACTGGGGGAAAGGAAGATATCAAGATAGCAAATAAGCACATGAAGATGTTCAGTATCATTCACTGGTCATTAGGAATATGTAAAGTAACCACATAAGATACCATTAGTCACACACTGGCACAGTAAAATGTCAAAGCCTGACTACATATTTTTTTTTTAAAGATTTTATTTATTTATTTGACAGACAGAAATCACAAGTAGGCAGAGAGGTGGGCAGAGAGAGAGGAGGAAGCAGGCTCCCTGCCGAGCAGAGAGCCCGATGTGGGGTTCGATCCCAGGACCCTGGGATCATGACCTGAGCCGAAGGTAGAGGCTTTAACCCACTGAGCCACCCAGGCGCCCCTCACACTGATATTCTTGACCAGAATCCATTCTTGCCTCCTTCCAGTGAATTCTCCACACAAGAAACAAAAATACTTTCCAGGTGCTCATATGATCACGGCATGGTCTCACCCAACTTTGTTCGAAATAACCACGCAGTGGCTTTGTACTATTCTTTTAACAAAAGCCAAAATACTTAACACCGCCTAAAGGATCTAAATGGTTTGGCCTCTACCTATGTTCGAGGCCTCACTTGGCAACACTCCCTTCACTTCCATCCCCGACTTTCATGACCTTGTCTTTTTTTTCCTGCCACAGAGCCACATTTCCTGCCACATTTTTTACACGAGATTCCTTTTGTCCATAATCTCTTCCTAGCATATAACTTGTTAATATTATTCAGATCTTAGTTTAAAATTGCATTTTTAAAGAAGCACTCCTTGACCTGGTTTCCTGCTCAAAGCATGGCTGCCCCTCACTTTTGCTTGAATTGTCTAAATAACAGCTTCTCCACTACAAAATGCATGATTACACAGACCACATTTATTTTATTTATTTTTTATCACCTTTATACCTCCAACCTCTAGTAAAGATCTGGCAGGTACCTAGAAGGCCCTCATAAATATTTCTTAATGAATTAAAGAAGAATTAGAAATTATCTATTCCTAAAGAAAGTGACATGGGCTTGGTGACATATTTTAAATGGACCTCAACCAAACCATATAATCAAATGCCCTGTTTTTAAGAAGAATTCCAATTAAAGCATCACATAGTTGTCTTTCCACATTCTTTCCTGCAGATGCTTCAGAGGCAATTACTATGTTCAAGCACTGAGACACAGCAGTGAATGAGACAGTCAGGGTACCTACACTCATGTAGCATCTGGTTAACTTGACTGACTTTTCGTTTCAAAAGTGACTCTTACTCTAAGGCCAGGTTACTTAATTCCTAACCTCTGTGGAGAATATATCATTTTTAAAAATAAGTCCTTAACTTTCTGAATACTGTGAGGCAATCTTACTCTATTTTAAGGAAGACTTACTTTTTCTTAAGCATATAGACATGAATAATTTTAATTATCTACCTAATTATGTCTAATCAGAATGAGAAGCAAGGCACAAAGAATGAAAATGGAAAAAAGTATACCTCCTCACAAAAAACTTACAGAGTAGACTATAAGGAAAAACTTATAGCATATCCCCAAAACATCCTTCAAAGACAGAAGTTAGAAATGAAGCAAAATTATTGAAAAATTAAAAACTGAAGACCCGTAGACATACTTTTTCAGAAATCTGAAATAAGTTACATCTAAGAACTCTGACCTCAAAATGTCCACTTGATCGCAAAGAGTTACACAAAATGTTCTCCCACTATGTTTAAACTGAGCATCCATAATGCAGACTTGGGATCAGAAATTTGTCTTGAACATATTTGGTTTTACAGTGTTGATGATTTTAAACTAAGTAATGAGGACTTGGTGTGTCAATCTGTAAAATGGTTGGTGAGGATTATTGTTGTCATGGAAACAAATTTCTCCTTCTACTTCTCTAAAGTGTGTGCTAAAACAGAGATCACATCTACAACCAAGAATTAGCAAATCCTGACATATACGAGGTTATTCCATTTTATCTGTTTCAAAATCCCTTCAGAGTGAACCAAACTGGAAGTACTATTCCAATAGCATGCTAGTTATTGGCAAGCTATAAAGATGACTTCCGAACTTACTCATTTAGTAAGTTCTATTAATAAAACTCCCATCGTACCATCATTGATGTCTCTTGAACATGAACGCAATCTGATCGCTCAGCATAAACTATCTCACAGAAGAGATCACAAAACTCTGTAGTCTCTGTAACATTTTTGCATTTGTTAAATGTGTTGGAGGATTTATCAAGTTCAGTTTATTTCTATGTCCCTTTACGTGTTATTAGTTTAATTCAAAATGTATCATTTGTGTATGTAATGAAGGTGGCTCCTAACTTCAACATCCAAGCCACTGTTAAATTATTCAATATAATATACAATAAGGGGGAGATTCCAATGGAGCATCCCTTTTAGGTTGACATAGAACCAAAAACTAATAGCCAAAATTTATAGAGTACACAAAATGTTTTCATACACAATGATCCTTAAGCCTTCATTTATTCAATAGATATTTCAGGAACTGAGTGCTAATTCTATGCCAATCACTGGCTAGATACTGGGATGCAAGAGTGATCTTTACAACTATATAACAGTGAATATCAAATGTCATCTCAGAACCAGTGGCTTCAGCATCACCCGGGAAACTAGTTAAAATAGGCCTCACCCCTGATCTACTAAATCTGAAACTCTGGGGTTGGGGCCCAGCAACCTATGTTTTAACAAGCCTTCCAGGTAATTCTGATACTTGCTCAAGTTTGAGAACCACCTCCCTATAAAGTAGCCCTTTGCATTCTATATTAGAAAAGTGGGGCTCAGAGAAGGAAACAGACTTGAGATACCAAAGAGACTTTTTCCTACCATTTATCCCCAGAGATTAGAAAAATGTCTGGCATGTCATATGGGCACACAATAAAAATTTGTTGGATGAAAAAATGACTGAATCCTCCAAAGAGTTGGGCTATCACCTAGTTATGATAATAGACCAAGCAATATAATCTTAACTTCTTGAAAATACACATATCAATAATGAATGCACTTCTTCTGAAAAGAGAAATGTTCACCACCATGACATCAAGAATTATAACTTAAAGGGGTGCCTGGGTAGCTCAGGGGGTCAAGCCTCTGCCTTCGGCTCAGGTCATGATCCCAGGGTTCTGGGATCGAGCCCCGCATCGGGCTCTCTGCTCAAGCAGGGAGCCTGCTTCCCCCTCTCTCTCTGCCTGCCTCTCCGCCTACTTGTGATCTGTGTCTGTCAAATAAATAAAATCTTAAGAAAAAAAAAAAAAGAATTATAACTTAAAAACTGTATTTTTTACTCTTGCATAAAAGAAGGTACCAAAGGTGACCACTACCAAAACTATTCAATTTTTCCATACCTTGTTATTTTGCCTTGATTTACTTAACTCCAATTTATACTTTTCTGCCTCTTCTAGAGCTCTGTTCAACCGAACTTCTGTAGCACTTTGGTTACTGGCAGCCTGTTTTTGTTGTCTTCTTTTACTTTCTAATTCCTGTATGGTAAAAGATATATGGAACATTTATAAATATATCATAAGTTCCCTCTATTATTCTGCAACATTTTCCATTTCCATATTCCTTGCTTTCTCCCAAATTTTATACACACTTACGTACACACATACACCAAAGACTAGGGTCTGAGCACCGAATGTCAGAGGTCTCAGGAAATTCTTACCCTGACTTGGTATTAGAAAGATATATCCTTAAAGACATAGTCATGAATTAGGCTTTCAAATTACTTTTTGTTTAGAATTTTCTATCTCTTTTTATATAGTATAGAGGTCCTCTATATTTATTTTATAAAAGCAACTCTTTGTCACTATAGTTCTTCCTTTGGGAACCTCCCCAAAACAGCTATGTAAGGCACGAACTCTATTAAATACTGTGCTTGTATAAACCTAACAAAGTATATCATGTAAGAAATATTTGTTAAAAACAGAGCATTCTACATTAGCCTTACAGGGAAAATCCTAACTCTGAGCAAAAACAACAGACCTTATGGATTCATGTTCCATGTCTTGGGGTAGGTTTAGACTTGCATTTCTGCAAATATTCTAAGAGACGCTGTTGCAGAGAATCTACAGAACAAACATGAATATGTAGGATAAACTCCAAACTCTACCATAATCTGCACTATTATCTCATCTCCTGCAAAATGTTACCTTCAGATATATCTCCCAAATAGCTATGATGTTTCTTGCCTCTGAACCTTTGCTTATCTCATACTCTTCCTTCTGCCCTGATCCCTCCTCCCTGCTCCTCATTTTTACCTAGCCAGCACCCATCCATCCTTTAAGACTCAATAAGGGGTGTACAGGAAGGTTTTACCTCCTCCAAGAAGCCTTCCCTCATTCTACTCCCAGGGTAGATTAGGTACCCTTTCTTCAGAGCTTCTACAACACCTTAACACACATATGTCACAGTACCTGCTGTGCAGAATTGAAACTATCAGTTTACTTCATTTTCCCCACAATTAATACAAGCTCACTGAGGACAGAAACGGTCTTAATTTCTGTATTCCTGGAACTTCAGTGGCATAGAAGAGGCACTAATGACATATTTATTCACCTGAATTTATTTTGTAATATTTAACTCACTCTTCTTTGCATCCCCTACAATGCCTCGTACAGAGCCTTATATACAACAGATATTCAATAAATATCATGGAATTGAAATGATGCAGTTAAAAATACAGTTGTCTGTTTTCTTCTTCTATAATTTTTTTTTCTCCTGGCTGTATCACTGCGTTTTATTTGAAAACTGATCTCCCTGGCCCTAAGTAATTAAGGGCAAAACAAAACAAAACACAACAAAACACATGCTGCTCTTTATGTGGGTTTTTAAACAAATCAAACTGTGTATGAATACCATCTGCTATCACCAGCCTTCTTCACAGCTTTGTGGGTGGTAGCTACAGTAAGAGCAAGCTTGATATATCTCACTGTTCACATGGAAAAGGCAGAGATTCTCATTAGCTACAAAGACCACAGTTCTAGCTGCCTCATTTCAGCCTCCACGCATAAGAATAGGAAAATAAATCTTTGCCCTTCTCTTTCCTGCTGGTGACTTTGTAACCTACTTCACAGAAAAATGAAAACCATCCAACACCACATTATGTTCTTCTATCCATCAATCAACATGGCCCCCTTCTTGGGAGAAGTGAAAAAGAAAAAAGATAAGCATTAGAAAAGTAAAATACAAAATAAAGTATTCCCATATGAGCAAACCCACTATGGAAGGAAAAACCTTACAAAAACTTGAAAACATTTCTGTTTTCAATCACACTCAAGTACTTTTTACAAAGTGCAAACAAGATACCAATATTTTTTATGAGAGAGGTTATAAACTGAAAATAATAAAGTAAATCTATTGTTAACAAAAAAAATTAAGCAGTCTACATGTTGTTAGAGAAAAATTTTAGGAAAGCCTGAATTTTACATTAGCTTTAAAAGAAAAATCTAGATCGCCTAAAGAAATTAAAATCTCACTTTAAAACTTAAATCCTATGAGATCCAATGAGAAATAACTTGCCATTCTCTCTTAACTTTCAAAGCATTCATAAGGAACTGTGAGAAGGCAAGAACAGACAGAGCTATGTATCAGTAGCCACAGCACTGACAAAATGATAGCAAATGCTTTAAGAGTAACACAAATTGCCACAGTAATTCAGAAGAGAAATAACCAGATGAGAACAAATAAGTGATCGGATAAGGTTCTAGAAATAAGTGGCTAAGGTACAAAAAGCAATAAACTTGGACTCAGAGAACCTGAGCTGTGGTAGACAGTTTCTGCATCTGAAATTGGTAGTAATGATACCTATGCCTAATTACTTATTCGTATTTATCGAGGATTTACTATGTGCTAGGTACTCTTCTACATGAACGATGGGCACACAAAATTAAGAATATATATAATATATAATTAGTACACCATGAAATGTAAGCTGGGGGAGAAGGGAATAAAGAACTGGGGAGAGGTGCAGATCTATGTAATAAAAACATATGACTACACACAACTATCGTATGTATGTGATAGCAATTTGTAAACTATATAATATTAAAGATAAGGGCCACTAATATCATGGCTTTGCAGGATACATATAATAAAAAATTTAAAAGCTTTCTTTGCAAGATAAAGACCTGCAGAAATTAAGAAAATGCTTTTGAGGAGTTTTGCTACACAAAAAAGAACAAAAGCATCTTTAGGAAACGATACAAACCTCAATTTTAATTGGAGTGAAAGATAAAAAGAGAGCAGACTTTTTTGTGTGTGTGAGTTACTAATGATAAGCATTGTGTGACATAACCCATGGTCAGAGAAACTTGTGGAATGTACTTACTGACTTTAATTTGACCAAAAAAAAAAACAAAACAAAAAAACAGAGATTAAGGATTCTACCCATTATGAAACAGTAAGAACCTAACATAAAAACACATTGTAAACAACCAAAAAAATAGTCAAAACATGTAAAATAACTATTTAGAGATAAAGGAAGATAATAGGATTATGATTCCTGAGAGAAGAGAAATAAATGGAGTAGTCCTACAATCACCCGAGCGCTCTGCCTGAAGGCAATATCCACACCGTGGGTATGAGGAGGAGAAAAGAGCCAAGTTCTGCTGAGCTAAGTAGACAGAGATGGAAGCTGAAGACTGAGGCAGCTGGAATTCTGAGAAGAGTTGAAATAAGGAAGAACTCCATTAGGAGAGAGCTTTAGGAATCTACACAGGATATCCTTTGAGTATACTGAGGACTAGGCCACACCTAATGGCTACTCTAGACACATCCAAGCCAAACTTAAAAACAGGCCTCAAAGGGACTAAACTGGCAAAAAAATGACTTGTTTTCAAATAGCACATTAAACACAGATACTCAACAATGCAATATTCACAATGACTAGTACCCAGTATAAAATCACTAACTAAACCAAGCAGCAGGAAAATGTGATTGATATCCAGAAGAAACATTCAACAGAAACAAATCCACAAATGAGAAATACAATGGATCCAGCAGACAAGACAGTCAAAATAGCTATTTTAATTATATATATTAATATAGTGAGGACATAAATTAAGAATATAAAAAAGAATCAAATGGAACTTCTACAGATGAATACTATATCAAAATGAACACTTCACTTGGTTAAGAGTATATTATACACTGCAAAGAAAAGATCAGTGAGGGTGCCTGGGTGGCTCAGTGGGTTAAAGCCTCTGCCTTTGGCTCAGGTCATGATCCCAGGGTCCTGGGATTGAGCCCCGCATCGGGCTCTCTGCTCAGCAGGGAGCCTGCTTTCTCCTCTCTCTGACTGCCTCTCTGCCTGCTTATGATCTCTGTCTGTCAAATAAATAAATAAATAAAATCTTAAAAAAAAAAAAAAAAGATCAGTGGACTACTGAAGACAGCAATAGAACCTATTCAAATAAAAAATATAAAGGAAAAAAGGCTAAGAACATCAGTGACCTAATGTCACTGATATATTATCAGTGGGATAATATCAAGTGATCTAGCAAAAGTATGACTGAAGTTACAGGTTGGGGGAGGGAGAGACAGGGTACAGAAAAAATACTGCAAGAAATAATGGCCTAAATTTTCCAAATTTGATGAACACTTATAAACCCACAGATTCAAAAAGTTCAACAAACTTCAAGCAGAATAAACACTTCCTACACAAAGCTGAGAAAACACATTATGAAATTGCTGAAAACAAGTAACAAAGAGAATGTCTTAAAAACAAAGATAAAAGACATAAAAACAGAAGGGTAGAAAGAAAAGAATTACTGTGAACTTTCTGTAAGAAATGACATAACCCAGAAGACAATAAAGTACTCTTTAAAGTACTAAAAGAAGACAGAAACTTTCAATTGATCATTCTGTATCTAGTAGAAAATATCCTTCAAAAATTTAAGGGGGTCCAAACACACACAATTGCATATGAAACTGGTGAAATCTGTCAGTTTCCAGATTTTAATACTAACCTATTAATATATTAGATGCTACCAATGAAGGAAACTGAGTGTAGGGTCCACAGGACCTTTATTTTTGCAGCTTCTTTGAATCTGTAATTTTCAAAATAAAAAAAAAAAATTAGTAAGGAAAAATACAGTCTTTTTTCAAAGAAACAAAAACAAGGAATCAGTGACTAGCAAACTGGCACTACAAAGATTGAAAGGGTAGTTATTTCAAGCAGGCATATAGAAAAACAGATCTAAAGAATGAAGAATACCAGAAATGGCAAATATAAAAGGCATTTCATATGTTAAGCTCTTTAAAATATAACTAAAGAAATATTGTGATAAGACCTCAATATGAGGCAGGAATCCACCAAAACCCTTGAGAAGAACACAGGCAGCAACCTCTTTGACCTCAGCTGCAGCAACTTCTTCCTAGAAACAACGCCAAAGATCAGGGAACAAGGGCAAAAATGAACCACTGGGACTTCATCAAGATCAAAAGCTTTTGCACAGCAAAGGAAATAGTCAACAAAATCAAA